TGTATTTATATTTCTTTTTGTTTTCAGTGAACATCAAGAAAAGAGCCCCAAAGGATTTAAAAAAAAGTAAAACAGAAAAAAAAACCATTTATAAACCATGGGGGCTTTCTTATTTGAAGATGTTAAAGAATAAAATGTCATTATAATATGTCTAAAATGATCTTAAAACTAACATTTCATTTGTTCCAAGTATAACGTTGTTTTTATCTTCTTAATTGCTTATGGAAAGTTTATGTAGAGCATATTCTAGAGTTGTATGGTCACATACAGAAGTATGTTCACAAAGGATTTAGTAGGGAGGGTCATGGATTTTAAATCCCTAATGTAGATTCAAGGAATCACACTTGTGGCTTTTAGATCCATTGTAATAAAATGTTTATCTTTGTGTATTGACTATATATGAATAGTTACTCTGTGCCAGGCTTTTTCTAAAGTCTTCATTGCTAAAGGTGCTGTCTTGTTTGACTGTGACAACAACCCCATGTGGTTAGTCTGTTTCCAGCTTTTCTAGATGAGGAAGTAGGCCCAGAGGGTTCATCATCCAGGGTCACGCAGTGAGGAGGTGGAAGAGCTGGGATTTGGAGAGAGGCAGCCTGACTCCCGATCAAGCTGTTAACATTCCGTATGCCCCGGCATACACACAGACACACTGGAGTGGCCACTGTCTTATGACGACCCTCCAGTAACATAACGTCCATACCGTCTCTCTATAGTACTGAAAACAAGTAGAAGTGTTCCTTCTTAAAGGTGCCTAATGATGAGAGATACTGTGGTGGGACAGGAGTGTTGCAGCAGGGAAGACGAGGGAGAGCCCTGTGGGAGCTCAGACCCCTCACAGCTACAAGTGGTGGAAAAAGGTCCCAGTTTCCATTCATTGACCCCACCTGCATTTAATTTGTGCTCACATAATGCCCAGAATGAAATCTGGACGTTTATTCCAGACTGTTGGCTGAAAACAAGAGGCACTTCTATTTTAGTTTGCCGAGGCACCTCCCGTTTGCAGAGTACCTGTTGTGCTTAGAGTCACGTGGTCACCTTCACCGGTAAAAATCCGGGGAAAGAAAAACATCAGCAAAAACAAAAGATGCAAATTAAATCAGTTCTCTTTACAACAGATCGAGTGATACATTTGAGGTGTCTGCTCTCTTTTCATAGACTTAAATTATTATAGTAAAACGGAAAAAAAAAATGTGACTCCCGGTTCCTCATTCCCTCTCTGTTCTTAACTTGATTCTGTTGATGGGAGATGCAGATAGTATTTGATTTTGTATGCTTAAATATTTACGTGATTCCTTTTCTACCAGCTAAAGGAACTCTCAGTGAAGATACTATTAGAGTGTTTCTGCATCAGATCGCAGCTGCCATGTGGATTCTGCACAGCAAAGGAATAATCCGCAGGGATCTCAAACCCCAGAACATCTTGCTGTCATATGCGAATCACAGAAAATCCACTGGCAGTGATATTCGCATCAAAATAGGTAAAGGGCCATGTAGTGTTTGATGCAAAGGACAGCCTTGAGACTCTGTAGTTTTAGAAAATTTTAGCTCAACTTTGTTGGAATGGTGGGTTCTGTTGATGCAATTTTGAAATTTTTATTGAGTTCAGTAAGGTGCATTTGGATATGGGAACCCTGTACATTACTGGCAGCCTACCCCTAGTCTCAGAACCGAGAGGCCTATGTTGGGAACTCCAAACACAGCTCCCAGCACCAAACGCTGTTTTGCTTCTCATCAGTGGGAAGCTGATGTATGGTTGTCGTAGATGCAGTTGAAGTACTCGGACTCTTCACAGCTCATGGAATTGTAACACAAGGGATCTAAGGTACCATTTAGATCAACCTTTGTTTTCTTTTCTTTTCTTTTTTAACAATTATTTGAAGCAGTTTGTAATCCTAGGTATTTTTTTAAGCTTTTCTTTGTGTGGTTAGATTTTTTTTTTTTAACCAGTATGGAAAGAAATTTCCAGAGGTACCTGGGTGGCTCAATTGACTTGGCGTCTGCCTTTGGCTCGGGTCATGGTCCTGGGGTCCAAGGATGGAGCCCTGCGCTGGGCTTCCTGCTCAGCCAGGAGTCTGCTTCTCCCTCTCCCTCTGCCCCTCTCCCAGCTCATTCTCTCTCTCTCTCTTTCTTTCTCTCTCTCTCTCTCAAATAAATAAAATCTTTTAAAAAATAAGGAAGTTTCTGATTTTATGTATTTTACATCTGGATCTG